GGCCGAGAGGCAACCACACATTGGTATGTATATTAATAAGATACCGCGCATATATACACGTAAAGAAATGCAACAGGGACTCATGATAGGTAAGTAGAAATATCTGTATGTGTACACAGATAAAAGGAAAAAGACTCGAAAACTGCCGTGGCCACGTGAGGTAAGTGAGTCACCCCCACAAAAGCAGACTGTGTTCAATATAAATTCTGGTTCGTGCAAATTGAACTATATAAATTCATTGAAAGTGGACACACAACGTAGATCTCCTGTGCATGTGCCCTGAATCAACTTGGACATGAGAATCGGAAGCCTCAAATGTCCAAAAAAATGGCTTGAATCTTCTCACACTCACTTCGCGTCTCGGCCAAGATCTGCCAAGATGGCCCCTTTTAGCATCGCTACCTTCCCCGATGACACCTTGCATGAGGAATGCTTCTTCAAATGCTGTTCCCAGCACCAATGCAAGCAATGGAGCAGCGCGCGGGAAGGGGGCACCCAGCCACGTTTCAATTGACCAAACGACCTTGCACAGGAGGACTTTTCATTGGGTCCTGTGGGGTACCGAGCCTGGTAGCAATTTATGGTATAGTGCAGCCCAATTCCGCAGCCCAAAATGTTCGGGATGTCCGCCAATCCAACTTGCTCAAGAAAAGCAAAATGAGGAAGAAGTCGGAAACTCCCTGCTGGAGTAACACCCACGGAACAATCCTTGGAGTCAGTAGAGCTGCCAGCACTGATCATTGGTCCTTCAGACACAAAGACAATGTCACTGGAGTCAAAGTTGCAAACCACCGCCTCGTCATCGGAAGCATTTGATTGGTTCTGATCACCTGCATCGAGCCCAACAAGATCCTGGTCACAGTCATTCAACTCGTGATCTTCAGGGAGGTTTTCCTCAAGCTCTGCTTCTGCAGCTTCAAACCCGTCAGACATGTTTGCCACCATGGCCAGCTCCATGTCCACATTATCCTCTGCTGGGTCGACCTGATCTTCCTGGCCCTCGCACTTGTCACCGTCACACTTGCCACCTGATCACAAAAGCCCGAGCATGCAATATATGCAGTTAGCAGTTTGGACGTTCTGCTTACTGGACCCTAGAATCAGCCCTGAAAAAAAATTTACTGAAGTGAAGGCAGTGAAGGTGATCCTTTTCTGAAAGGAAGCAAGAACTGTCAGCCCTGACTTTTCATGGAAAATTGAGGCTTTCTCCCACCCCAACGCGCTCCAAGCCTTGCTCGTGTCCCTTCATCTTCCCCCGCTTCTTCTCCTCCTCTGTCCTGTTTTTTGTCATCCACCTGGTTGATGGCTCCGCTGGAATTCAATGACAAAGAGGGCAAATGAATCCGGATCTCCTGCACATTGGCTGATTTGCCAGTAACCGAGATCACACGAAGATGCCGTACTTCTGGGCTACCCTCGGTTCCCGACTTCTCCAAGCTCATGTCAGAGACATTGAGTCTGTAGGCCTCAACCTTGCTTGAAGGTGAGACCTTGCAGGTCCCGTTCTCCACAGAGCAGCAGCGTCGGTAGACCTCCTCTGATGCTTCTTTGCCGCTTCCCTTCATCATCAACACCACGCTTGCTGCACCTTGCCCCTGTTGAATAGCAGTGAACTTGTTCAGAGCGTTCTTTGTCTTCTTGTCCGACTCACCAAATGTGTCAAGACGGAACTTGTAAAATGCCTCAGCGTCCTGGACTTGTGTCTTGTACTCTGCAAGTCTTTTGTTCAGCAAAGTCTGCCAATGTGCGGGAAGGACTCTCCAATCTGACTTGGCCTCCCACGATTTAGCAGTGTCCTCTCCTTCAGACTCTTCTGCCCCAAAGGAGATTTGCCACAAAAAGACTGTCCTCATGATGGATGGTGACTCAAACACCTCGTCCATTGGCGCTGCCCAAGCATCCATGTCCGCTTGAGTTTCACATTTCTCCAGCTCAGCGTCTTCCACCGAGAAATTTGGCACATCGGGGTTCACATCCAGCATCTCCTGCTTGTTGCTCAAGCCCCTGCTAATCCATGCCCACCTGACAAAGACATTGGGATGCTCCCACCCCCACCCCCTCAAATAAGTGAGTGACTCCAGCTTTTATGTTCGGATATATAGACTTTTTGTAAAACTATATCCCCTGCACTTTGCAGATAATGGGCGCTGCTTACTGGGGATCCTAGTTTCAACCAACTATTGGAGCCGAGCCACCTCAACAGTTTTCTTTTCCTTGCCAACCTCTTCCAGGCATATACACAGGACATCATAGAGTCCTGGTGAGTGATCTGGCACTGGGGGTTGCCATTCGATAGCAATACTGGAACCTTCGTGGCCTGCTCAAGAAGATCTGACCTGTATCCAAGGCATGTTTCGCTATACTCTGCAATATACTTGCGAAATGCCTGGTGAACGGCATCGCAGGGCTGTCCCCGTGCCGACCAGCCCCCTGGTTGCCGCACCGGCCAGATTATCCGGGAGTTCTTGGCAAAATGTTCTCCTTAGATTGTCAATGTATAGCTTCTCCAATGGAAAATGCACATGCAGTATATGGGTACGGTACATTGCTTATTCTAATTTGTGGAACAAATTTCAGGCTTATGTATGCATTGCAGTTAGCAGGTGCACAATTTGCTTACTGGCGGGTAGGTATGTAGGTGCAACCTCAAAAGTGTAAATCATGTATGCCGTTCAGCTGCGAAGAACGTCGCTGCCGCTGTTGAGTCCGTGATGGCCAGTAAATCCATCGCAGACTATCATGCCCCACTCTTCCTGAAAGTCCTTGTCATAGCGAGCGGAGAGCTCTGCTCTACGCTTCTCAAAGGCGTGCGCCAACACCTCATCGTAGTACTCAATAACCAGCTCACTGTTCATGAAGTGCGAAGGTCGGTTGGTGCACAAAATGTGCACATCGGGACACTTGTTCTTGAACTCTTGGATCTGAGCTGACGTCATGAAATTCTGAGGAAGGACCAAGGTGAGTGGACCCACTTCGCCGGAACCCCACAGCGATGTAACGACAGTAATAGCGTGACGAGCCTGCGACACACAGTCTGCCCTTGCATCCTTTCCTTGAGGGGCAAAAGAGATCAGTGGATACCCACTTGACAAAGTATCTGCATAATATATATATATATTAAACTTATATATATATATATGTATGTATGTATGTATGTATGTATATATATATGCATATATGCAAAACAATTGTGACAATGAAAAGTCCCCCAATCCAGTCCTGTGATCCTACGCTTCTTGATCTTCCATTCAGTGCTCTCAGTTTGCATGCTGTGCAACAGATGACCGACTGCCTCCCTGCGGCCTTTGAGAAGTCGGAGAGGGCAGTTCACGTCCCAAGATCTCAACCAGACCTTTGCTGGCGCACTCCAAGACTGCTTCCAAATTTGGTCGAAATTCAGCACCATGTCTTGTCTGATGGAGTTCTCCATCCTGCAGGCCAAGGTGCTTTGTTGGAATCAGTGTTTGCAGTTAACAGGAACCCCAGTCTGCTTACTACACCTGTCGTTTGTGTGAATGGTTGCCCCACACTTTCCATTTCCAAAATCCCCCGTCCCCCGTCCAAGGCCTCATTGCATCGTAGGTTTTTCTCGATCGAATCATTCTTTGGTCTTCATAACCCAAATAACTGCCATACGTATTGGGTTTTCTGCTCCGCCACCCATAAAGGTCCATGAAGCGTCTTGTCCACTTCGTGCTGATGCTTTTCTTGACGTCTGGCTCCGGCAGCCCGGCCTCCTGGCAAGCTTGCTTCTTGGACTCTGACCAGATTGCAAGTAATTTTTTCACCTTCCTTCTGAATAGTTTTTGGTTCCAGAGTGCCCGAAGTCATTGGGCCTTCCCCACAGGTCACTCTGTTGATCATATCTACCAAGCGCTCTTGTACCTCCGCAGGCACGTTCTTCCCCTCTTTGAACCGGGCAAGAGAGCGAGGAGCCAAGCCGATGCTGACTCGCAACCAATCAGGCAACTCTTTGCAGCCGCGGTCCGCTGTTGAAAGCTTTTCCCATGGCACCTTCCGCCATTGCTGCTCATCCGCTTGAGTCATCCACCGTCCAAGCATGCCTGTTTTTTTGTCGTTTCTTTCCCTTTGCGCTCACAAAGAAATGAGGATAGGCATCCATGACCCGCTTCTCAATTCCATGTCGCACCCCTGCCTCGATGAGGCGATCTGCCTCTCTCACCGCCAACATCTTTTGATAGATGCTCAAGCGCTGCCTCGGACCTTGGTTTTTGCCTCCACCCTTGCCACCACCATGTTCGGAGTCTTCATCATCCTGCCACGGGTATAGGCTTTAGGACAACCCTGCCCCGGTAAGCAGTTTCCACCCATCTGCTTACTGCATCTACCTTCAAGCTGTCATATACCGTGAACGCTTTAAAAGCAGGATGGCATGATAATGTGTTAAGTGTAAAAAGATATACATGCGCACCAGGATTTGAAATCAAGGTGTCCTTCCAAAAAGTCCTTTATATGTATATGGTTAGTCTCCCCAAAATGTTTTTTTTCCCAAAAATGGTGCACTCATCGCAATTCCATGGGGGGCCCGCTTCTAAATCTCCTTTAACCTCCAACCACACTCAAACCACAGGGATGTTAAACGTGTGTAGGGCTTTTTGAGCGCAGTCCATATACACACAGCGCGACGCACATCCAAGCTCCAAAGCCGGAGTCCAGAGCACATGCGCACCGATGCTAGCTCCAAGCTCCTAGTCCTCCACCTCCACACCCACGGTCACCACCTCCAAGCTCCACCAATCTCAACCAAAGGCCACCTACAGGCCTCCCTAGTGCGCAAGCCGCTAGGTCAAGTCTTTCCATCGGTCCTCATCCTTTGCAGGATTGCGACAACAGTGCATGTCAAATGTGTTGCATCGCTTCATCTTGGAATCCCAACACAATCGAGTGATGTCTTTGGATTCAATCCCAGTCAAAGTCCCACCCAGTGCTACTGCAGTAAGCAGATTGGTAATTTGGGTCATGGTTTTCCCAAAAGCACTGTTCCTTTTAAATGGACTAAAGCCCATATAACTGCATCCGTTTTCATCCGATTCTTTGATATGTCCATGAAAATCCTCATGTTTCATTCAATTTCCTTGTAAAAAATGACCTTTCACAACTTTTTTCCAAAAAATCCTTAAATTTCAAGAAATGGCCTCAAAACTCTTGAAACCTCAAGGAAAGA